GGTAGATAGCGGCTGAAAAATGGTCATGGGCGGTTAAACTAAGACCTATCATGAAGGTAGGGAAACCCTAAACACGAGACTTGCTCACATAGGCTGGGTTATGTTTTCTGAATGTGGACTCTGGGAAGATCGTAGCCGTCGGCTAGAGACACTGATATGGCGAAGTGTCACAAGCAGTGATGCTCGTGCATCTACTCATTATCCTTGGTGACTTAGTCCAAATGAATTCTTCATATTCTCTTTGACTTTGCTCCGAAAATTCCAATCTTCTTTTTGCTCCTTTATCCAAAAGGGCAGTCACAAAGATGCAATCGAAACCGGCGCTCGGAAATGCATGGTTATTGGTGGCAAAAAATAAAACTGTGACACACCGTAAAATTATAAAAACGAAACAGTTCACGTCGGACGTGGCGTGTCTTTTTACGCATGCAAAGAGGTCACGTTGTCGTTCGCTACCGGGTAGTCGAAAAAGAGAAAAACGTCACAGCTCAGATCCAATCAACTAAATTCCGATCTATATGTTAGGGGTTCAGTTGCTTGCCGTGGTGGAGAGCTATGTACTCAATCCGAGCACTAGACATACAAGTAAGTTTGTCTTACAAATCAGGTTACTGATTGTGTGCAGGGCAGCATGGTTGAAATAGGATACCACGTGTAAATGACGAAACACAGTATAAAGCAGAATCAATAAAAAGAAGGATCCGGTCTGACTCACACGTTGTGACGAGCAAAGTGGTAGTAGTCGACCGGCAAGGGCTACAACCACGGCACGGAGTTCCGGTCCATGACTGGGCTGATCGAGAACCGCGCCCACACCGGCCAAGAGCAAATCAGGCAATCGACCGGAGGAGGCAATACACGAAGCGAGAGAATTCGGATCAGCCCGAGCGGTGGTCAGATCATTGAGTTGACCCACACAAATATTGTGCAATAATTGACAGGCCGCGGTAACCAGACGTGTGTGTCTAGGAGAAGAGAATTAATTGGGCACTCGGTTAGTTAGGATGGGTGCATGGGAGGGAAACCACGATTTGACCAGTTGTCAACTACGTACACTTACAGCGAGAAACGTTGGCTGTGAGCCCGCGCACAGATGAATGTGACCGTGTTCTTGATCGATACTGCCACCTTTGGATTTACAGTCAAAACAATCTACCTTTTGTGTTACATTTGAGACTTTTACTTACAGGAGTATCGTATTTTACACGGACACACGGAAGCTGCAAGAGATCTGCCAAATAGTTTGACGATACGAGCACCTCATGCAAACCTTCTCCAATCAACATATGGTGCAACATGCAACCCCCATACCTTCCCATTTCCTAACTAAGCTTTGCAACATCAACATTTGTAGAACATAAAATGTTTCGACAATCGTTGATCCCAGAAAAATCCGTTACTTTTTTTATCTGACTCGCCTACTACGGCGTGACTGAAGGACTACGGTTCTTGGTTAAATCTGTAGAGGTTTGCCTAAATGGTTTTGGATTAAGTTTGATGGAAAAAGCTGTCGTATGTGTGCGGAGACTTGCACGGATTCGAACATCGTTTCACTGGACCAAGGGGAATGTACAATATCGATCACTTCTCTCCCCTGTAGCGAGTATTCTACATCGAACCCGAGAACAAAGTATTGCACCCTCCGAGATTAAAAAAAAATTAACTATATGTACTGTGGTTATCTTTTTTGAGAATTAGAATAGTAACCCAATGAGAAAAGTGCATGTAAAATTTCCTCTAATTGTCTTTTATTCTACGGAACATATGCCATGAAATCACAAATTCCGAGCGAAAAAATTGCACACATTTGTGGTAATACGGTCATAAAATGGGTAGTTACAAGTGTTACTGATAACTTTGGACGGTAAACGTTTGGGTTAGTACATTCGGTTTTTGACAGGCATCAAGCATTGTTGGTGACCTTGGATTTGGGTTTCACTCCTTGGGAGATCGTTAATTCCCCACCAGTGTTACTGATAGCATCTCACCCTCGTCGGACTGCACATAACTGGTTGGGTTTGTTATCGACTTCGTGAGTAGCTTATTGATCTGAATTTGTATCTTGAGCTTGCGACTCGAAAGAATAGCAGTGAGCTGGTTCCAGTTCAAGGACTTGTTTTCTTTCTGGTCGGAGATAATGAGATCAAGGCTAGACAGAAACGACGGTTCCGCTCTCTAATCGTTGCTGTTTGTGTGTTTCGTAGCATGTGATCTGGGGTCTAGGTACTCTGTTCAGATATAGATTGCACCCATTGGTTAAAAACGAGTTCTGAAATAGCCGAAATATCTGTTCCATATGACCAGTTGAATTCCATTCCGACGCGAGATGAATGAATAAACGATCGCAAACTTCACACACCACTTATTTATCACTATTATTGTTATGATTTATTGTTGCGAGGTCACTTTTATCTCTGAAATGTAGAAACTTCCGTCTTCGGCGGCAACTATTCTTTTTTAAAGCTATGCACTTGTTTTGTTGTAGATGATGCAGTAACCCGTTTCATTGTATGGCTCAAACCTAAGGATTTAACCCCGAAATTCATTTCCATTGTAGATGCATGCAAGTTAAGCGGTTCACTGTGATACGCACCAAGCTGTACATGTCTTTCTTTTTTAAAAGCTTTTTCTTGAATTCACCCTATCGCATTTCTTTCCGTCATGGACATGAACCTGTAGTATAGTCGTGTTATACATGCCGCATGATATCTCATAAATGTATCAATCCTTGGGCTCTTCAAATTGGTTCTCTCCCAAGTTACAATGAACGACAGTGGCTTTGTTTGACTCCGTTGACATCTGAACGCTCAATTCAAGGTGGGTACAAGTGGCGCATTCACACGGGCATTGTCATCATGATATTGCAAGATCATAGATCACATCGATTTGTTAGACGAAGATTACGAGATATTGGTTATGAGGGAAGGGGTGGTGCAATAGGCGGTAGGTTTAGAACCGGTGCTTGGAGTGTCTGGAGTTCGTTTAGTAGAAGAGAGGCAATGATAGGGGTTGAGTTTGTTATGGCACTGAGATGTGCAAATGAGGATGACTGTTAATTTCAAACACAATATGACTACTCACTTTCATCTCAGTAATATAACTATACACGAGTTCAGAAAACAGCAAAGGTTTCTCTTTTGGCAGGAATTTTGAGCTCATTCGTGTTTACAGCTGTATGCCAAGCCATTTCTCGTAACTAATGCCATTAAAATGTCTGAAATACAAACCTTTGACGACTGGGCCCCAGAATGCAGTTCTAAAAACTTCCGACCCAAACACCAGTTTCACTAATCATTTAAATCTTTAACCTCAATGATAAACCTGGATGACTGTTAAGAACATGTTTTGCGTAGTATGAATGACAGAACGACTCTAAGGTATTCTCAGTTCAGAGGAAGGTTCCCGTTGTTACCCATATGTAGGTTTTATGCATAAACTTTGTGTTTTCCCTATGGGTATATTTATCTGCTGTACCGATAAGTTCGCATGCCACACATGACACAACCATCCTCCCACCCACCCCTATAGCCCAAGCCAGTGCGTGTGTGAAGACCCAAAGGTGAGCAACATCCGGTCATGAAACTGGAATGTGATTGTTTCTTTTCTAAGTTGTCATGATTTCTCCCCCGTAGTAATCAGTTTGATATGAGTTGTGATGTATTAGCTTGTAGACGAATCACTGCTAACGACTTTTTAAATTCATAAATACCTTGACAAGCAACGCAAGTCAAGAACACACGTCCTAGTCACTAGAATCCATTAGGATCAGACATTTGCACCACTGTGCTAACATGACTGATTGAAACCCTACCTCTAACTATGGCCTTACTCGTCCAATTGTCTTATCAGACTCATGCAATGCGACGTAGATAGCGGTTTTGGAACACACGAACTGGGTGAATATTTGCTGCGAGAAAGAGTTGCGATAGAGCAAGGCTATGAGAGCACAGAATCAGCGATCAAAGTTGGTGGCAGCGGAAAATTGGAAAGAGATAAGAATGAGGACAATGCATGATGGAATCATCAAAGAATGTGTGTATTGGGTGAGAGGTCACGGAGCGTACAGCTAGTTGATGAAAAGGAGAAACAGAGTATTGCTTTGGATTGACTATCCCTCAGACTTCACCTTCACGCACAATCCTCAGTTCATTTAGTCAACCATATGCTCTGAGGCACTAAAATGGAGTTTCGTTCTTATAAGAGCTCATCACCAGTGCACAAGCACCATCCTAACATCAAGGGCTTTGAACTCCGGAACCATCGCATGGAAGGCGTGTGTGTTACCCCTGTGCCAACCAGCTCATTCCAGGGTTGATCGGAATAGTTAAATCATGCTTGTTCACGTGTCGTCCGCCGTGTTTGCCAGTCAGCTTATTTGGCTAGACAGCAACGCAAGGGAGACAGAACTGCTTATTTGTGTTAACTCTAATCGAAAGCCTCCCACAAAGTCAGGACTTCCGTGTAGGTTATCGCAAACCTACTAAGCCGGATTGATAAGTAGAGAGAAATAGGGTAGAAACCATGGAGACTTGAGGGACTGCGGTTTTTAAGGAAGACAGAAAATAGAGAAGATTCAAACACATGAAATAGAAATAGTTCGGTTAACGAGATAGCTTGAATTCCAGGCAAGCGTGAAAGTGGACAGTTTCGACAATCTACTTTGATGCTAGACAGAGTCGAACGTTTTCAAGACTACATGTTTCTCGAGTGAAATTGACCAAAGGTGGAACAACGCGGTCGAAAGCCGTTATTGGTGACTGATCACGAGTCCGTCATGTTTGCATTTTTTGGAAAGAAAATCGTCAGTAATGATGGTGTGAAATGATTGGGGGGGAATGGGACAAATTGGCTGTGATCAAAATGTTGATCACGTTTGAAATGGAAAAGATCACAGTAGTTTACTGGGGATCATGAACCACATCGGATCGAGAAGTTTGAAAAAATAAATGACCAGGTAGGGAGTTCATCTTTGAGGTGTAAATTTGAGGACGCTTGGGGAGATAGGGATGAGAAATACCATTGGGAAAGTGTGGTGTTTTGAACACTGAAAGACAAAATGATTTGTCCGATATACCTCGTGGTATGTATTAAACGAAATGTGGATGGATTTATCTGAAACTAGCGGATTCACCGAAACCGCGAAAATTTACGTCCACAGAATTGTTTTTTGTTCCAGACTTAGGCCGAAACGAGTCAACAGTACGTCGTGATGCAAAAATGACGATTGGAGCATGCGAATCGGCTCGAGGGCTGGGAAGGCAGACAAGCCAACGCATGGATTGGCGGTATTTCGAACAAACGCAAATAAAAAGGCGAACTGCCGTGGCTGCAACGACCAAGGTGTGTTTCGTCCCTGTTTGAACTATTGATCAGACAAAAAACAGATCCCGTGAATTTCTCTCGAGCTCAGAAGGCTGATGATATTTATGGGCCCGGAGATAGATACAGAGTCTTTCGGTCCGGATCATATGACAAAATGGCTTGTATATGCATTCTCCCACCTTTGTACGCCAAAGAACAGAGCAAAGGTCATGATTGTACGGTGTGTTCATAAACGCAGAAAAGGTGGTGGGTTTCCCTGCTCGAGGACAGACCAATCAGAACGCTGATCTAATCAACCAATCCCATGAGAATTTTGGATCATTTTAATATAAGTTTGAGAGAAAAACCAAAAATTGGTACACATGCTAGAGCTGGAGTGAAACGTATGGATTGATTGGGGAGTAAAATTGAACAGTCATTTGACAAGACACAGGGGAATGTATATGTGTGTGTGAATATAAAATAAAGGATTGATGTAGGCAAGTATGAGAAGGGCTTAGCAGTACCATCGGAGGTAATCGTCGCGAAGTCATTCAAATGGACTAAATTGTTATCCAAAGCAAACGATTTTCCTTCGCGTCCGATAGAATCAGTTTCGGTTCAGTGTGTAAGCTAATCTTCGTCTCTGGACATTGAAACATCCGAGGATGTCGAATTGACAGTAGTTGGGATTAGGGCCCATCAGCATTCCAAGGTTTCAAGATGTAGGAGTCACTACTCATAACAGAATGTTATACTGAACAATAACAGTGATTAAGGGGAACAGGGTGTGGCGAGACTTTAGCCATATCATCTGAACGTCCCGAACGGAGAAGTTCAGTCAGGGTATCAAATGGCCGCGTCTGATTGATGGTTTTGGGTGCAGACGACAGCTTTTCGGACGAAAATGATGCGTGTACATGGATAGTATTAAAACCGTGAGTGAGTGGTGTGTGAACAGCAGATAATTGAGGTTTCCACGCTAGGGAATGAGGTATGAGAGATTGGAGGAAGTGGTGCAGCGCATGAAAGCTCGAACCGTTAATGGTTGTGACTGCAAACGCCAGCGTGACAGTCTTCACGTTTATGCAGTTCACTTGGTGTGTTTCGAGAAGATAACCGGCAAGCTATCCAGGCGGCTTGGATTGGCCAGTCATGTTATGTCCCGGTGGATGGACAGTGATATTGCCTCGGTCGACGAGAGAGCCACCTACCACTCACTTCATATTTTGATGTGCATAAAAGCAAGTAATTTAGCTAATCGCGAGTTTGAAAAGAGGGAAGATTGTTCTCATGTTCTTATACGATCTACAGATGAGGTTTAATGGAGAGATTCATTGATGACGTTAACTCTGATGATCTGCATTACTCTTCCAAAAACGGTTATTGATTACAGATTCTTAACAGACAAAAAGCAGAAACAAAATACAGGCGCCCAGACAGACTAGTGATAAAGTTGACTTACTGTGGATCGGGTAACAGGGGCGCGTGTCGAACTAAGCAATCGGCCAGTGCTGCTAACAATGGCTGACGCTTCTGTAGAATGTCACGACGTATTGTGGCATCGTGGCAGGCGGTTGACAGGCTATCAAGTAAACTGGAAAGACAGCCTGCTGTTATCGCCGTGGAACGACTAGCCCCAGTTCGTCCGTGGGCAGACAACGCTGCCTCAATCACAGATAACAAACTCTCCAGATTGACCAGGGAAGAACGCGCGGAGATCTGTGAGTGGATTGGGAACAATATTGTAATTAGAACTGGAACAGTGCAGTAACAGATGAGCCTAGACCATATGAGCGTGAAACATTTGACTCGTTCCGCTGCGCCTCAGCGTTGTCGTTGTTGAAGCAAGCGAGGAAAAAATTACCAAAATCACGTCTAACTACCTAATTCTGTCTCCCGTTTGCCATTAAGGTCAAAAAAAAGTGCTTGCACACTCATCATTAGTAGAGAGACCACAATTCGAAAATACGAGTTCATAACAGAGATTTACGTACCAGTTTGTTCTATTTAGGTTTATCTAGTCGGTAGCCGTATGTGCGAATTGCGGTCGATCTGCCAATGAATCATATGTACGCACAGCAGAACTCATCATAATCAACATGCGCAAAAGCAACCGTGAATAAGATGCCAACTGATTGAAATAGAAGTTGTTCACAACTCGAAATAGTGGATTGTGCACGTCATTGCACAGATCTAGACTTAAGACTAAATCGAGACCAATAAACTGGTGATTCACAGCTCTTATGACACAAAAACTGGTTTACAGGCAGACACTACACAAACACTAGGACCAGAGAGCAGTCGTGGTTTGTGACGAGTATTGAATACAAATCCAATGATCATCATCTGTTTGATGATGTGAAGTGGAACGTTTGGTCTGGTCCCACAGGTGGCATCTCAAACGAACAGCTGGGCAACCAACGCTGTTCGGGAACGAACGGCTGTCGGTGTATCACTGACCTCCTATCGAGACAAATCATATGTGCATTAAAGTTTCACTAATCATATGTGTTGAACTAATTTCCAAACTGTTCAGTTTTCAAAACCTCACAACAAAATAGCCATCCCAAGAATCTTATCGGTCAGCACAGGACTGAACAGAATAGGCCAACGGAAGCTTCCCAAGTGAAGGTTTCGATTGGCAAACTTTCAATAAAAGAAGATGCTCCGATGCCGATAGGGTTAGAACAGTCTCAGTTATTGCAGTAAACGTCGCCCCTAATTTTTGTGCTTGTGAACAAGCTTTACTCACTAAAGGGAAAAACGAGTGAATTGCTAACTAGAATACTTTGTAGAAGGATTAGGCTGACCTGGTACGAGCTCGTTCACTCTGGCGATCACAACTGAAGCTTTATGAACACCAAACAAGACTGAAAATACGATTTTGAATACAGGTTCATAGGACGAGATAACGCAGCGGGATCTGACGACTGGAGTAACGATTCAATATTATTGTTGTACAACATTTGGTCTGAGAACCATCAGCCATCGTCCCGACGTAAATAATGACTTGATTCTTTCGTTAAAAGAAGAAGTCCTACTTACCAGAAAGCCTGGACTCTCGGACAGCTGTTCGAGGATCTGAGCAGCTTTGGCTGCGGAAATAGCTGCTGCAGCCGATGTAGTCCCGGACGCACCAGCCTGACCACGTGAGGTGGCATTCGAAGACAAT